TTCTCTGAATGTCCTTCCAGAAGCCACATCAGATTTTGCATCTCGTCTACAGTCTATGGGTACGCTCATAGACATCACTCAGACTTTCAAGTTCCTCTACCACGGGTCCTACTTCTCTTGTTGATCCCCCTACTCTACATAGTAATCCTATAGAAGATCGACGTCGTCCAGCTCTCTATAGTTGCTTTATTTTAAATTTTTGTTCTCCATAATTTACTTCTTTTTTTGCTGCCAATCACTCTATATGCATTACATCGTGCTGGTACTTGGAATCTTGTATTGTTGCCATTTGGTGTACCACCCAATAGTTACAAGTGGATCTACAAAGCAAAAACCAAATCTGATGGTTCTGTCAAACGCTACAAAAATCGTTTTGTGGGTCTTGGCTTCCCTCAAGAATATGGCATTGATTATGTAGAAATATTTACTCTAATAGCTAAGATGACATCTATTTGTACACTTATTGCTATTGCTACTACTCGAAACTGGCCCTTATATTAGATGGATGTTAAGAATGTATTTTTTAACTGCGATCTTTCTAAAGTAGTTTATATGATTCTGCCTCCCAGTGTTGAAGCTCCTCCTGACCATGTTTGTCATCTTCGTTGTGCTATTTTATGGCCTCAAACGGGCTCCTCGTGCTTGGTTAGAATGCTTGCACCAATCTCTTCTCACAGCGGGGTTTACAAAAAGTCTTTTTGACTATGCTATGTTCTATCCCTCCTCACTCAAAGGTCATTCCATTGTCGTGAATGGCATGATTATTACTAAGGATGACACATATATTATTGCCTATCAGAAGAGGTATCTTCAAAGTTAGTTTGAGATGAAGGATCTTGGATTTCTTTGCTACTTCTTGGGTATCGAAGTTGCATCTTCCTCTAGGGATATATTCTCTCTTAGTAAAAATATATTGCCACATCCTTGAGCGGGCTTCCCTCACCAATTCATCGCTCTTATCGTCTCCACCAATTTCTATGCATATGGAGCTCAATCTGACATTTTGTTGAGAATGGAGATCCATTGATAAATCCAGACGCTATTAGGAAATATTTGGTTCATTGATCTATCTCTTCGTTACTCTTCTAAATATCACTCATGCAGTGCACATTTTGAGTTAGCTTGTTAGTGCTCCTACCTCTACACACTATGCAGCTCTTCTTCATGTGCTCTGTTGTCTTCGTGGCACCAAGACAATCCGATCCCTACTATTTCCCTCAAGCTCGTCATTATCAATTAGAGCATTCTCTGAAGCTGGTTGGGCTAATGACCCAGATAGTCATCACTCCACCACTAGTTATTGTGCCTTTTTGGGTCTTTTCCTTATCTCCTGGCATAGTAAAAGTCAAGATGGTATATCTTGCTCTAGCATTAAGAAAAAAATATAGGACAATGTCTGACATTACTACTTGTAGACGGTCAAAATTTATTTTCACTAAGGATCCAAGAAGTGAATGCCCATGAGCTAAACACTTTGAATGGGCCTAAAGTCAAGCCCACAACAAGCTGTAACGGATGTCACCTGATGATTGAAGCGAACCTCGCCAAGCAACTCATATCTGTTGGCCTCTTTGTTTTGATGATGTTTAACAAACAATTTACCACTAATGTTGTTTGTCTAGTATTTATGTTTTCTTATTTATTGTAGACAAACAACAAGTTGGAGGTTGGATGGATTGCGCCATAATGATCATATCAAATGGAGGTTGGCGGATATAGTGGTTGAAGCAATGTAATTCAAGTTCAAGATCCAAGTTCAAGCTTCATCCGTAATTGTACCAAGTCAAGCTTATTGAAGATCAAGATTGCTTGGGTAACATTTAGTTTAGGTATTACATTATGTGTGTTGGTACTTTAAGCTCAATAAAATATGCACACACATTTTATTGGTTTCTTTGTATATATATAGTTATATATATATACATAAGTTAAGTTTTGGTTTCTATGTATATTTAGTTATATATATATATATATATACATGGTTTGAGTTTTCAAGTTTTAATATGAAACAATTAAATATAATTAGAAAATATATTTTTGTTTCATACTTACATGCATATATATAATTTCATCATTATCAATTTTATTTAGTTCAATGAAATCATGTTTTAGTGCATTATATGTGTATTTTGATCAAATACTATATTCATTGTTTAAAGACTTCATAACAATAGTTTACATCTTTTTTCAAGTCTATAAAATTATTTTGTAATGTTTCAAAACATGGTTAAGCTAAAGTGTCAAAACTCATGTGTTTACATTTTTATGTTTTGGACTATTTTGTAAAATGATGATATTTTTACTTTGGAGGACCTTTCTAAAAACCAGTTTTTGTAGCATGTGTATTATCATGTCTACAATATCATTTCCTAAAGTTTTATATTTTTTGGAATTTATTTGATATTTTTAAACAGGGTTTTAAAATCAGAAAACTGTTTATAAAACTGTCAATTTCATATATCTGTTTGTGGTCGACCGCCACGATCGATCACCCTTGAGTCCAGAGACTCAGTATATTTTTTGATGGCTCCCCGGCGACCGTGACGGTCGACCAGATGAAGTCCAGAGAGTTTCGCGCGACCGCCACGGTCGACCGTCTGTTGTCCAGAGCCAAACCCTAGCCTTTTTGTTGCTCGCGATCGACCGCGAGATTCCCACGGTCGACCACCGCACTGTCTTTTCACCACCAACGGCTATTTTTCTGTAGCTATTTTTGTAGGTTTTTTGGTCTTTTGTTTTGGGTTTTTGGCTGAGGTTTTAGGAGGCTATAAATACCCCCTTGCCCTCATCTTTCATTGCAACAAAAAGAGAATGTTTTAAAAGAGTTTAACAAGGATTTAAACTTCTTTAGTGTTTGTTTAAAATAGTGTTTAAGAAACTTTTAAGCAATTGAAAGTTTTGGGTTTGTGAAATCAATTTCACAAGAGCTTGAGGAGATCCTATTGGTGCTTGAGCATCCAACCATCCTCCCTTAATCTCTTGATCCATTGAGAAGTTTTCTAAACTCTATTTCTAGCTTTATATCTATTTGTTTATTTATCATTTTATTAAAGCTAGTTTTATATTAAGTTTAGATTTGATTTATCTCATTGTTACACACACCCACACTGAGCTTTTAGTATTTACATACATAGTATATTGGGGTTGTGAGAGATTGTAACAGTGAGTTGTGCTTAATTGAGTTCTCACCCTGTATTAGAGAACAAACTAATTTGTTGTTATATTGTGAGATTGTAAAGTTTTCGGTTAGCTAGAAAACCGAGTGTATAGTGGAGATTTCCTCGAGGTGAGGAGCGAAGACGTAGGTCGTGGGGACCGAACTCCATGAATAAAATTATGAGGTGTAAATGTTATTCGGGTGAGCGTAGAAAACCCGGTTGTGATAGTGGATTTCTCCTCGGGAGTGGGGAGCGGAGACGTAGGACGGAAGGTCCGAACTCCATGATCTTTTTGTGTGTTTGTATTGTTTATTTGCACACTATCACTCTAGTTTTGTTTATGTTTATTTCACCCTTGTGTTAATTTGTATATCATTGCATATATCTCATTGCTAGGATATATCTCTTTGTTCATATTGTATGTTCTTGCTCATAACATATTGTATATCTATCTTGTAAGAATAATTTATTAATAAGTTTATTGGCATAAAATCAGATTAGATTAGCATAAGACCCTAATCACCCCCCCCCCCCCTCTTATATCGACCCAACTTGAGCAAGTCAGACACGAGTTGACCCCTGCAACATGCTTCAGATCAAGTCGAAAGGCATCATCAGTCGATCAAGCCTAGAGTCGAACTCTGAGCTAAATTCGAACTCGTAGGTGAAATTCGTCGACTAACGAACTTCGCCCACATGGACCAAGTCATCCACTTCCGAAGAAGGCACTCCCACATCTGAAGTGACCTTCACCCATTTTTTCAACGAACTTCGCCAAGTTCGTGAAATTCGCCTAAATAGCCGTTTCAGAACTATTTTTGGGGGATGACCGCTCCCCACTAACTCATACTTTAACGGCCACTTAATTCACAATTAAGATGACCATTTACTCTCTCTTTTAGCCTATAAAAGGAGAAGAGATCATCCACTTTGGAGACACGGACCAACACACACGCGCAGAGGCATATGAGAGATAGAAACTATAGCCGAAAAGCTTTTTAGTGAAAATAAACTACACACGCATCGTATTTGTGATCCCATCGAGAGGTATTGCTAAGAGAAGGATGAGCTAACTTTCAAGCAATCTAATCCTCATCAACAGTAAAATACCTATGGTCTTAGTCGACAAGTCAACGAAGTACAAGATCGACGCTCCACCGACACATGGAAAAGAACGCATGAAAAAATAAATTTTCCTTTGTTTTATTAAATTTCTTTCATTGTAATTTGTGTTAATTACAATACAAAAGAACCTGAAACCACTGGCTGCGCAACTTGTTACATGTTTTGGGTGTGGATGTGCCTCCTAATATTCCTTTATACTATGATAATCAAATTGTCATCCGCATAGCCAATAATCCTGTGTTTCATGATCGAACAAAATATATCGAGGTTGATTGTCATCTGGTCCACCAAGAATATTAAGCTCATCGAATATCTCTACCATGTATTCTTTCCAAAGGCCAAGTGCCTATCTTTTCACCTAAGCACAAACTCAGTCTCAAATTAAATATTTTTTGTCTGAACTCTTTGTCTTCAATCCACTGTGAGTTTGAGGGGGGATGTTAATTATAATAGTATATATTCATAGTTATCTAGTTCCTTGTTTGGGATCCTCCTTGTTTGGTTTCCAATATGTATACAAATCCTTGTAGACAATAATATTAGCTATCAACGAGAGCTATTTCCTTCTCCATATTCTTGTTTTGACAACCACCTTTGGCAAGAACATAAGAAAAATTAAATTACTTTTTGTTAGTTGTATTATCTCGTTTTAGATAAAATATCATATCTAACGAAACAAAAGAATCAAAATTCTAACTTTATACATACAATTCTATTTTACAATTGATTATGTTCTAATTGTTCAAGATTCGTAGACTTAGCTGGTAATGATGCTTCTCTTTCATCTAGCATCTTTACCATCCAAGCAATTATGAGAATCATCAAACAAAGTGAAAGACAAATCATTGAAACAAAGAGCATTTTAGTTGAAACTCTCAAAGGTTTACACTGTTGATAAAGAGCATTATTTAAGGCATCTTTTAGGAATGAGCAATGAACTAGTCTTCTCAAATCAGAGTAAGCACCAAGGACACCCTGAAAAAACTGAACATTTGATATGATTGTTTTTGGTAAATCTTGCTTCCTCTTCATGAATACCTACAAAGCATGAAAATTTTCTACATTAAAATCAAAATTAGATATTTATGTTAAAAATTATTCTAGTTGACTGAACCAAATTACTTACATTGAGCATGCCCTTAATTGAATCATTATTCATACACCCACTTGCATTGTAGCTGTAATGTGGTAGGTTGGAAAAAGGATCACACACCATCTTGGGTTTGAGCCTGCTAGATGCTCCGGATTCTTGCTCCACGATGCTAACTAACTTTGTTATATTGAAGTTCAACTGTGATACCCAATAAGAAAGTTATATAGACACAAAAACATTGTAAAAATTTTGGATAACGACACACGCAAAAGTTTTCAGTGATTGCATGAATTTTCAAACCTTGTTGAGGACACAACCAACTTTTTAATCTTGTAATAGCTCTCTATTAATTGCGACTACCAATCAGACTATTCATCCTGGTTCTTAGAGAAAATTCTGAAATATCCAGGGTGAATTTTTTTTCAACAAACCTTTTGACTCTAGCTAGATTTTGTTTTTAATCTCTTTTAGTACCGGTGGTTTTTACTCTGGAAGGTGTTACTTGGTTGTATTAACACTTTCTTCTTCCAAATTCTCAATCGTTTTCAGTCTACTTCTTCAAATCATATTATTAACTGTCAGAGATATCTCAAAGATGACTGATCTATTAAACTGTAAGAGATATCTCAAAGATGACTGATCTCTATTATCTCCTATCATTTTCCTTCTTGTTATTCCTAGAAAATGCTAATTAAATTTGGATCATAATGAAGAAACTTATCACCTTTATAAATATCTAAATAGAATACAACAACTAATTAAGAACAAAATCACTACATGATGATTTAATCCAATACTGTTGGTTTGGGTGCAGACCAAACCTGTCGAGCTCGAGCGGCCGAGGAGCTCCGTCAGGCGAGCTCGAGCGACCCTTTGCAGGCGAGCTCAATGATGAGGTCGACAGCGAGCTCGAGGCGAGGTTGATGTCGAGGTCGACGGCGAGCTCCAGGTGACCTTCTGGCGAGCTCGAGCGAGATGCAGGCGAGGCGAGCTCGAGCGAGATGCAGGCGAGGCGAGCTCGAGATCAGGCGATGTCATCGACGAGTTGCAGGTGAGCTCGAGAAAATCCGTAGGCGAGGTCGAGGCTCTGTGCAGGCGGGCTCGCAAAAGATGACAAACGACAGCCTGTTACAGGCTGTCGTCTCGCCCTAGGGTTCCCTTATAAAAGGGAACCCTGTTCACGAGAAGAAAAATGAGCTTCTTCTCGTGATTTTCTCCCAGCTCCCTGGCGGCGACATTTCCCCCCATCTGTTCTTCTCTCTTTTTTCTTCCGTGCTCACGAGATTAGGGAAGGGAATTTAAGAAGGGGAATTTTATAGAGGGAAATTAAAGAAGAATGTTATTACTATAGTTACAGTAACGTACTTTTATTTATTTAGAGATCTCAAATTTGAGAACTGCTCTTACATTGCAATTTCTTTGATTAATAAGAAATTAATTGTGTGGCTCCCGATGACGTATGCAAGTTTGCCGAACCTCGTAAATCTTGATGTATTTTTCTCTATACCGCGTTTTTGCTGTTCTAGGGGTTTAGCATAGCCCCGGATATTTTTCAACAACTGGTATGAGAGCTTGAAACGATCTAGAGGAAGTCAGATTCAAGTGGGAGTGATGGCCACAGATGAAGGAAAAGTGAGATTAGAGAAGTTTGATGGAACATATTTTAGATTCTGAAAAATGCAGATAGAGGATTTTCTATAACAGAAAAATCTGTATCAACCCCTCTCGGGGAAGAAGCCGAATTCTATGAAGGAAGATGAGTGGAACCTTCTAGACAAACAACCCCTCGGAGTTATCAGATTAACGTTAACTCATAATGTTGCATTCAATATTGCGAAGGAGAAGACCACGTCAGGTCTTATGGTAGCATTCTCAAATATGTATGAGAAGCCATCAGCCACAAATAAAGTTTATTTGATGAGGCGGTTATTCAATCTGAGAATGGCGGAAGGCGCGTCAGTAGTACAACACCTTAATGAACTCAACATGGTCACAAACCAATTGAGTTCAGTTAAAATTGAGTTTGATGAGGAAGCTCGGGCGTTGATACTTTTATCTTCCCTACCAGAGAGTTGGAACGCTATAATCACAGCTGTGAGTAGCTCGTCGGGAAGCAACAAGTTAAAGTTCGATAACGTTCATGATCTGGTTCTCAGTGAGGAGATCCGACAGAGAGAGTCGGGCGAAGCTATAACCTATTCAATATTGCATATAGAGTCAAGAGGTAGAAATTCAACCAGAGGGAATGAACGAGGCAAATCAAACTACAGAGGTAGATCAAAGGACAGGAGGTCCAAATCCAGGAATCCAAGCAACAACTTAAAGGCTATTGAGTGTTGGAATTATGGAAAGACCGAACATTATAAGAATCAGTGCAAGAGTGCACAAAAGGAGAAGGAGACGAAGGCAGAGGTGAATGTCACTTCCATCTCAGGAGGAGACGACGCATTGATATGCTCTTTGGAGAGCAAGGAGGAATCTTGGGTGTTAGATTCAGGAGCGTCGTATATGCTACTTCTCAGAAAGAATTCTTCGAGAAGTATGTTCCTGGAAATCTTAGATATGTATACCTTGATGATGATCAACCATGTGCTATTGTGGAAAAAGGTGTAGTGAAAATCAAGTTGAATGGGTAAGTATGAAAGCTGAAGGATGTCACGCATATTCCTGATTTGAGAAAGACCTTAATATCCGTAGCCAGTTGGCTGGCGAAGGATACATTACAACCTTCCATGGAGATGATTGAAAGATCTCAAAGGGCGCAATGACGATTGCTCGAGGCAAGAAGGATGGTACCTTATATATGACAATGGGTGCACGTTATTTAATCTCAGTTGCAGCAGGCAATGAGATTTCAAAGTTGTGGCACCAGAGACTCAGTCATATGAGTGAGAAGGGGATGAAAATCATGCACATAAAAGGAAAAACTCCTAGGTTTACAATCAGTAGAGATTGATATGTGTGAAGAATGCATACTTGGAAAGTAGAAGAGGTTTAGCTTTCAGACAAGTGGCAGAACCCCGAGGAAGGGGAAGCTTGATCTCATTCACTCAGATGTTTGTGGACCAACAACACTGCGTCCATTAATGGGAAACACTACTTCATGACTTTTATCGATGATCACTCTCGGAAAGTGTGGGTCTACTTTCTAAAACATAAGTCAAAAATATTTGAGGCTTTCAAGAGATAGAAAGCCATGATCGAGAATGAGACTGGTCTGAGAATAAAGAAGCTCAGGACCAACAATGGCTGTGAGTATGAAGACACCAGATTCAAAAAGTTATGCTATGAACACATGATCAAAATGGAGAGAAGTGTGCCCAACACGCCTCAACACAATGGTGTAGCTGAGCGGATGAACAGAACATTAACAGAGAGAGCTAGGAGCATTCGGATATAGTCAGGCCTACCGAATCAGTTTTGGCAGAAGTAGTCAACACAACAGCTTACTTGATCAACCGAGGTTCATCGGTTCCATTAGAGCATAGAATATCAGAGGAGGTATGGTGCAGAAAGAAGGTAAAACTCTCACATCTCAAAGTTTTTGGTTGTGTAGTTTATGTGGATATTAGTGATCAAGGCAGGAATAAGCTTGATCCTAAATCCAAGAAATACACTTTCATCGGCTATGGTGAAGATGAGTTCGGCTACCGCATTTAGGATAACGAAAACATGAAAGTGATCTGCAACAGAGATGTGATATTCAACGAGAAGCTGATGTACAAGGACATGTATAAGACAGATGCCTTGGACTCAGAGGAGAGCGAGTCAACATTTGTAGATGCAGATGATATCCTAGGTGACCTCTCGAAAGAATCAAATGCATCATGTTCTCAGCCAGAAGAGTCCGCTGGACAGAACGGTGCGTAGAAGCCCGACGCACCAGCTCCAATATTGAGAAGATCTTCTCGGCCTCCTATGCCCAACATGAGATATATAAACTATATGTTGTTGACAGATGGAGCGGAGCCTGAAAGGTATGATGAAGCTTGTCAGAGTGGAGATGTGAGCAAGTGGGAGCTTGCCATGAAAGATGAGATGAAGTCAGATGTGAGCAAGTGGGAGCTTGCCATGAAAGATGAGATGAAGTCTCTCATCTCAAACCAGACGTGAGAACTAGCTAAGTTGTCCACAGATAAGAAGGTACTCTATAACAAATGGGTGTACCGGGTAAAAGAGGAGCAGGATGACTCCAGAAGATATAAAACCCGGTTAGTTGTCAAAGGATTCCAGCAGAAGAAAGAAATTGACTACACCGATTGTTTGTTGGGAAAACTAAAAGAAGAAAATTGGAGAATTAAATTTATAGTATTCTCTCTAACAAACTTAAAAAGAATAGATTATAATTCTCTCAATGCAATCTCTCTCTAACAAAATTAAAAAGAATAGATTATAATTCTCTCAATGCAATCTCTCTCTAACAAACTTAGAAAAAAAATTATAATCTTCTTGTATCAGATTCTCGATTTACAAAAGAGAGAAGGGATCGACGGAGACCCTTCCCTTTATTTAAAACTGGGTTCTTCTTGATATCAATAGAATGCTTTCCTCGAATGCTCGCTTCGAGTTTGCTTTCCGTTAACGATCCGAACATTTCACCTTATTAGAATACAGTATTTTCCTCTTAACTTGATGTTGAGGAGAACTTACGTGGCAAGTTTAAGAATAACTCTTAACGAGTTTAAGAACTCAGTGTGAGTTTGAAACTCTATGAAAGAGTTGATCCAAGAAAAGGAAATTAATCCTTTTTAATTAGACTGGAAATAATCCACAAGCTAGTAAAAGCTTCCAGAATGGCTCTTGATGATGCTCCAGGCCCTCCAAGATCCGAATGTGCTCCAAGAGATAATTGTCGATCTCAATTCTCCAGAAATTCCCCTCTAAAGAACTGGTCTTTCATTAAGCTGAAATTTCAACTATTTATAAAAGATTAAGGGGTGTAATCACCCCCTTGATTTGCTCCTTAATGAGGGTTTATGGGGTGTAACCTTCCCCTAAATCTCTCCTTAATGAGGGTTTATGGGGTGCAACCACCCCCATTAAGTGGAAAAACGAACCGTTCAGGTTCTGTTTGAACCAGTCAAATGCGAAATTTACGTTCTGACAAAAACTCTACGTTCTGGGATTAGAACGCAAAGTTGAGCCCCGCAGTGGCAGCTAGAAAATGGAGCAATGTGCTCTGCGTTTTGAGTCTGGAATGTAGCCACGAACTATGCGTTTTAAGTCTGGAACGCAGCCACAAATTTTGCATTTTGAGTCTAGAACGCAGCCATGAATTCTTTGTTTTGACTATGGAACGTAGAGGCGAGCTTTAGACGAGCTTCGGGCAAAGTCCAATGTTCAGAGTCTTGTAGACGGGCTTCAGAACATAACTTGCTACGAAGAACATGTCATAACTTTAAAACCGTGAGATAGAATTGGACGAATTATATATATAAATTAACTATCTCGATGAGACGGAGCTGACCAAACCTACCCAAAGGGTTTGGTTTGCTCATGTCAGTTTCGCCAAATTCCTTATGGTTTGAGAGATATCTGTGTTTTAATTTAAAGAGACCATCAATTTATAGTCTCTTTTGCTAGAGTGTTACAAAGATCGTTATCTTGTAACATTCGTCTTGGCTCCTTGAAAATATGAGAGTCATTAGATTGTAACTCTCAATGTTGATTGTAAAGACTGTTGGATTAGGGCTTTCATCGGTTGTTGTGAAGGTCGTTAGATTGTAAGATTCATCGATCTACGTAAAAGTTTTTAAGTTATAGTCTTCTAGAAGCCATCAAATTATAGCTTCTATCATCGGTGTTTGATAGGGATCAGCTGTCTGTAGTAATTTTTAGATAGCCTACATCGACTTTTTTGCTCCTGTGATAAAGCTAAATACTATCAGGACAGTGATGAGTATTGTAGCTATTGAAGATCTTCATCTCGAGTAGTTGGACGTGAAGATAGCGTTTGTTCACGGAGATCTAGAAGAGGAGATATACATGCACCAGCCAGAAGGTTTTCTAGAAGAAAAGAAGAAGAACTTGATGTGCAGACTCAAGAAGAACTTGTATGGCCTGAAACAAGACCCAAGACAGTGGTACAGGAAGTTTGATGGTTTCATGCACAAGGAAGGCTTCCAGAAGTGCAACGTCGACCACTGTTGCTACTTCAAGAAATATCAGTCTAGTTATATCATCTTACTGCTGTATGTTGATGATATGTTAGTTGCAGGTACAGATATAGAGGATATCATGAGTTTAAAGTAGAAGTTGTCAAAGGATTTTGACATGAAAGACTTGGGTCCAGCAAAAAAGATTCTTGGAATGCAAATCACGAGAGTCAAGAAGAAATAGCTCTTGCAGTTGTCTCAGACAGAGCACATCAACCATGTTTTGCAGAGATTCAATATGGGCAACGCTAAGCCAGTCAGCACACCCTTGGCTAGTCATTTTTGCCTATCAAAGGATCAGTCTCCTCAGACAGAAGAAGAGAAAGAGAGTATGGCTAAGGTTCCTTAAGCATCAACCATTGGAAGCTTGATATATGCAATGGTCTATACAAAACCAAACATTGGTCATGCAGTGGGAGTGGTCAGCCGGTTCATGTCGAATCCAGGAAAAGCTCATTGGGAAGCGGTCAAGTGGATTCTAAGGTATCTATGAGGCACTACATAGAAGTGTTTGCACTTTGGTAAGGGAGAGGTGGAAGTGCAAGAGTACGTAGATGCAGATTTTGGAGGTGAAGTCGATCACCGAAGAAGCACCACCGGCTATGTATTCATTGTCGGAACTACAGCTGTTTGTTGGATGTCACAGGTACAGAAGATCGTTACCCTATCCACTACAAAAGCTGAGTATGTAGCGGTGGTTGAAGCTAGTAAAGAGATGATATGGCTTCAGGGTTTGTTAACAGAGCTAGGATTTAAACAGGAGAAGAATGTTTTGCACAGTGATAGTCAGAGTGCGATTCACTTGGCTAAGAATTCCTCATTTTATTCTAGAACGAAGCATATTAGACTTCGGTACCACTTCATCAGATCTCTGTTGAAAGATGACGTGTTAAAACTGGAGAAGATTTCACGAAGCAAGAATCCAACAGATATGTTAACAAAGACGGTGACCATTCAGAAACTAGAGTTGTATGTAACTTCAGTTAGCCTTCATGCATAAGTGATGAGGGCAGAGCCACACAGGAGGAGGTGCTTGTTGAGATAGCATGTTGTTGGCGGTTTGGTCTCCAAGTGGGAGATTGTTGGTTTGGGTGTAGATCAAACCTGTCCGGCGAGCTCAAGCGACCCCTTGCAGGCGAGCTCGATGATGAGGTCGACGATGAGCTCGAGGTGAGCTTCAAGCGAGGTCGACGGTGAGGTCGAGGCGACCTTTTGGCAAGCTCGAGCGAGATGCAGGCGAGGCGAGCTCAAGGCGAGGTCATTGACGAGTTGCAGGTGAGCTCAAGGAAATCCGCATACGAGGTCGAGGTTCTGTGCAGGAGAGCTCGCAGAAGATGACAAACGACAGCCTGTTACATGCTATCGTCTCGCCATAGGGTTCCCTTATAAAAAGGGAACCCTGTTCACGAGAAGAAAAATGAGCTTCTTCTCGTGATTTTCTCCCAGCTCCCTGGCGGCGTTTTTTCCCCCATTTGTTCTTCTCTCTTTTTTCTCCCGTGCTCATGAGATTGGGGAAGAGAATTTAAGAAGGGGAATTTTGTAGAGGGAAATTAAAGAAGAGAGTTATTTTTGTAGCTACAGTAACGGACTTTTATTTATTTAGAGATCTCAAGTTTGAGGTCTGCTCTTGCATTGTAATTTCTTTGATTAATAAGAAATTAATCGTGTGGCTCCCGAGGACATAGGCAAGTTTGTCGAACCTCATAAATTTTAGTGTACTTTTCTCTATACTGCGTTTTTGCTGTTCTAGGGGTTTAGCGTAGCCCCGGGTATTTCCCAACAAATACATTCAAACTAAAACTGTAATATAAGATTCTTACCTGCGTCACAAAAATCTGAATCCAGAGCTTAAGCTCTGACATTGTAGCATCTGCAGATTCAGTGGTTGGACAAGGCAAGAGTGAGCTGAGACTGCTGTTGCTTGGATTTTGTTCAAATTCTTCCAAGGCTGAGCAAGTATCCTTGATGTAACTACAAGATTTTTTTTGGAAGCTGTCATTTTTTGCCAAAAAGCCAGCAATATATTGCAGTACGTACAGCTCAAAAATATTCAAATGAAGAACAAATATTAATCTACAGCATGAGAGGATCAACAGAAAATTGACCTAATTATATTCGAATGCAAGCAAGAAAAGGGTGATATATAGTTTACATGTGGAGAAAGAAATCCAAGCCAGTAAGCACCCAGCATATAGTAGTTAGCACCCAACACATCCAGATTACCCTGCGCCAAACAAATTAGTTACCTAATTAGTTTATTATCTGTATACAAAAAATAGGTATTGGACCGGAAAGGAACTATACTATATTCATGGTATTAGGTTAATTACATGATTAGTCCAGGGCGCCAATGAAGCAATAGTACAGCTGCACCAAAACAAATAGGCGTTCATTCGAAAATTAATGATAAAAGTAAACTGATGATGAACATGTTGGAATAATGAAGTTATAAGTTATTACTTGTATTGGAATAATGAGGTACTTTGTATAAATTAAGCAAAGAAGTGTGTAGAGTTAGCTACGTTCGTTTTGGGGTTGATTTCACCAAGGAAACAAAAAGCCCTGAATTGTAGGTTCTTTTGCAGATTATCCCCTAGCCTATTTTAATTCCACAAAAGTCCCCTAAATTAACCTTAAGAGGTTTTGCACCTAACTCCATAAACATTTTGTATTCCAATAAACAGTTTCAAGAGCTTTAGTGGAATAAAATTAAGAAGCTCAGGGGGTCATGTGCAATACCCCTCAAAGCTCAGGGGCTTTTGTGGAAATACATAGTTAAGGTGGTTATCTTCATAACCCCCAAATTCAGGGTGTTCTCTGAAATTAGCCCTTCTTTTTGACTAGTATTACTTGCTAATCATGTACTCTTCAACTTAATCTGAATAACATTTATTTATTTATTTTTAATTTTTAGTACGCCTATAAAGATTTAGTTGATTCCTCACAGCAAATGTGCTGAGCCTTACCTATGGCAGCAGAGACCAACGCAAAGCTCAGGCAAACTATTCCCACGGTAACACCAAATCTACAAAGAAACGTACATGTATCATTGACTGTGCTCAAGCACAGATAAACAAATTAAAGTTACAAACTACAAAATATGATGATAATACTTGCACGTACACAAACTTATAGTACGTAGAAATCCATGTATGTATCTATAGCGACTACAAAACCGTTTAGACAATTCTTAGGAGGATTTATCTCATAAATAAATCACAAGTATATAAAACTTAACAGATGGTGAATAATATTAATGAAGTGGACTCTCCACCGTCAGCCACAGTGAAGATAATCCAAATCCAGTAAAATTGAGAAGAAAAAAAATTTCTTTTTAATTGGCATAGGATTGATGCAAATTAGGATGAGCATATAACCATATGAGCACATAAACTTCAAACAACTGTAACTTTTGATCTGGGTGCATGCTAGGTGATCAAGAGTGTACGAAAAGCTCTTTTCAAGCTCCTCGAATGTAGAAAATCGAGCAAAATCCATTTTAGATGTTTTTTAGGCCCAAAATTATTTCCTTTGAGCTGGTTCCTGTTTTGGCATTGTACGATTTCAGATCAGGCCCGGCCCAAGAGGGGGGTAGGGGGGGGCGACCGCACAGGGCCCCATTTCAAAGGGGCCCCAAATTTTTAAAAATGTCCATAGTATATTTCTTAATTCTTTCCAATAAGTCTTTTGTTTGTTTAAAAAAGGGCCTAATAATCTAATACTAGCCCACTAAATTAAATAATAATTTATGTCCATTGCCTAAGCCTAACTACCTAACACCCATGACCCATCTGATTTACATTTTACCGGAAATATACACCAATTAGTACTATAATTATGATTAGTTGTTCATTTGTCTCCTAAAGTTTAGGAAATTCAATTTGAACTCATTAATTCCCAATTAACTATTCCCTATTAACTAGGAAACACACCAATAAATATAATTCAATAAATTTATAGTTCAACATTTATATAGAAGAGGGCCCCATTTTATCATTTCGCACAGGGCCTCAAAAAAGCTTGGGCCGGCCCTGTTTCAGATATTTAGGTTTTGGTTTGTAGCTGCTACGCATATTGCTCTATATACCTAGCTGTTGCTGAACTTCAAAAGTGTTTTTTTATTCCTTTTTTTCTCCTTATTTTTCCTTTTGGATATCATGTTGTTTTCCATGTTGCGTTTTTATAAAAAAACACAATGGTGTTATATTTCCCCTCTAAAGTGTTTTCAAAACACCGTGCTGAGTGTTTCTGGTCAACACATGTTTGACCGATTATAATATTATATTAAATATATTATAATAGTAAATATAATATAATATTGTATAATGTATTATAACATTATATTTTACTTTAATCTTCTATATTACATTATAATTATTACATATTATTTTCAAATAAAAATACATTTAATTATTTTGGTATGTCAACTTGCTATTGCAATTTATTATATAATATTTTTAAATTATATTACTTTATTATTGATAATATTATACTATTAGTAACAAAATATAATAATAATAATAATAATAATATTATTATTATTATGTTAATACTAGTATATTATTAATATATTTTAAATAATTCAACATTATATAATATATTATAGTTTCTAATATGTTAGAGTTTATTAATAATTAATTTAATAGTAAAGTAATAATTTATTATGTAAATAACTATAATCATATTATTAATAATAATATTATTATTACATTAACATTTGCTAGCAATAAATTATTTTACATTATAATATTATATTATTTATTACATAATATATTAATTTTTATATTATATTACATTTACTATATAAGATATGCTATATAATATATTATTATCATATTATTATTCTATTGATGTTTTATATTATTAAATATGTTACTATTATGTAACATTTTAAACTTATTAATTTATTACATATTATTTATTAAAAATTAGTAATTCTAAAGTGATTATATATTATTATATCATGATTATATTATTATTTGTTATCAATAATATTTTTATTATATTTTTTAGTTTATTTACATTTTATTATTATATTTATTTAGCTATATTATCGTATAATTCATTATCAATATATTAAATATTAGTATTTAATATGTTATTATATTATTATATAAGATATTTTAATTATTAATATATTTTATATTATTTAATAAATATTACTAATATATTAGGTGAACTATAATATAGTATAATATAATATAATAAGGATATCGATAATAACTATATGTTAACTATATCTAATATATTATGTTAGATAGTATATTAAAATCTCCTCCAACTCAAAACCAAAACACTAAGCTTAAAGCACCTAAAAGGTGTTTTAAAATAAATGTTGTGTTTGTAGTTTGAGAATTGTTATGAGGTTCACTCACCCAAGATACGGGCTTTTGCAAAATGATACAATAAAAGTCCTAGCAAAATAACCTCAAACCCACTTGAGTGGGCTAAGCCCAACGGAGGCCTCGACCTCGCCGACTCATCAAATCGACCTTCTTTCATGCCAACACGAAAGGCGGGATCAGTCGACCATATCACCGAGGACGACCCACTTAGGGCGCTCTACCACTCACTGAGCAATTCTCGGAGACGACTTGAGGGATATTCCCTGCTGTCGGCTAAGTTGAGGACTCGGTCCAGGCCTCAAGCCTCTCCCCCAGAGCATATGTCAACATTTCAGTCCATATCGGACAAACGTTATCTAGATTTTAGCCTAATGATCTCTGTGACTTGTCCGCTACCCACGTGCCTCCATGACTTATCAATTACTTCCCGAGAAATGCGGAGACATCCTCTCCCATGTCGAAGTGACTTCCCCTCTAGTCGCCAGCTGACAACTGTAGAATGAGGGATGATTTAGTATGCCCACATGCCTTCTGCCACGCTATCAATCACTTTTCGGAAAATGCGGAGACACCTTCTCCCATGACGAAGTGACTTCCCCTTCAGTTGTCGGCCGACACCTGTAGAGCAAATGATGACTCGCCCTCCAGCTCACACTTTGTCACCGCCATTTTCATGGCCAAAGTGACTAATCTGCCATGGATGTCCTCTTTATGTACATATGCTATTCACCATAGCCAGGGAGGGGAGAGGGCCATCTAAAAAAGGTTTGCAATCTAAAACCTCTGAAAGCACACACACACAGTTCCTCTTTAACCCCACTCAGGTTCATCAACTAACTTGATCGTTGGAGGTATCATGGGGGAACTCATCCCCGCCCTCTTACGACTCTTTTGTATGTAGATTGCCCGGCCATCCTAATTCCAGAACTAGGCATAAAGTCGAAGAAGAAAGTGGCCCCCTTTTCTTTTATAAACTCTGTGACTTTAATTGGCTGTGTGATATTTAACATCAATAGTTTGGCGCCAACCGTAGGGCCCCCTTTTCTTTTTCGAGAAGACATGCCAAGTTCTGAACAATGGTCTGATTCTACCCATCCTGAAGAACAACATCAGAGTTGCATCATCCAACCTAAATGAAGTCAGGAGTTGTATCATTCAAGCTAAGGAGAGTTAGATTTGACTAAGAGGAAGCAACATAGGTATAGTCCTAGAAGGCCTCAGCGACTTATCTGGGGAGGGTCTGTCAAGCACACCGTCTTCTAGATGATAGAATGACCTTCAGCCCCTCTCGAAACCCTCCAGAAGAAGACACACCATAAGGGTGGTTGTCTTTCTTGAAAAGCAACATTGGCTTCTAATCGCCATCACAGAATAACTCTGGCCAGAACATAGGATCTGATCAGGCCAAATATTACTTAAGCTCTAACTGGCGATAGCTCATATGAGCATAGGAGCTGTGATTAAGTCTGTGATAGGCGCCTTGGACCATGATGACTTTTTTGAAGGGAACTCTCATACATCAGGGATAAGATTACGGGAAAAACTTAGGGCCTATCAGCTGATTGTCTTCTCAAGAAGAATAACCTTGGCCCTTTAATTGACGCCTATACTACTAAAGTTGCCTAAGCTCTAGTGGTCGAAGCATGCGACCCGTATGATCCCCATGAGGGAGAGTTCTCTATTCACAGGATGGTCCATGTTTGGGTAAAAAATTGATTTCTTTGATGAGTCCATTACAGCTTCAAACACTTACAATAAACTCAGAAAAATAGCCTTTTTATAAGACTTTTAAATCAAAAGTTATAATTTTCTCTCAAACTACACGCAATAGAAGTTTATCGCCTATTGCTTGTGCGGGATCATTGTCGGTGCCGGGGTTTATCCGTGGACCGCCTACGGATCAGATCCGATGAGCAGAAGTTGGATGATTAATACTCTCGCTTCACGAAGAAAGTGATTGCAGTAGCGGTGATTTTGACTAAGCAAAATCGCGGTGATTTTGACTAAGCAAAATCACGGCTCTTCTCGAGATTTAAGACTAAGCTTAAATCCGGAGGAAAGGGGAATGAGTCTCAGATCTCTCGAACTCTCACTTTATTGAAGAACTCCACCAAGATCTACTAACTCTCTGAAATTCGTGCTCAATCTCCAATTTGACAGCACTTCGTCCTCTTGATTTCCAGATCCTCAAAAATGAACACTCGAGCTCTTATTTATAGGCTTGGTTGATGGTTTTTCAGATCAAAACGAGGGATCCCCTCTATCTTCAGTTAACAACCGGATAACCACTGTATCAGATCAGTTGGAACGCCCAAATCCCGAAAGAATCCATAAAAGAACCGAAAAAACCGATTCTGGCCAATTCACCGAAGTGGCTCGGCCTTGGCCGAGCCACCAAATGGTGGTTTGGCCCGTGGCCGAGCCACTAGTCTGACCGGATCATTTTGACGCGTCCCGGTCGCCAGAGGCTTTCGTGGTTTTCTAGAGTTCGGCTCGTTCCGTCGTTTGTATGTATCTCATTGTTTCGCTGACCGGTACGCTTCATTGATTCACTTTGCGCGTTTCGTGAACGCGCAGATCGTTTTGACGGTGGCTAGGCTAATTTTTAGGTCACTTGGCTTGCCGTTCCGATGGCCAGCGAACGTATGGGTTACTTGGAACTAGCTAATGAGTGTGTGGG